TTTGTACAGTTCTTCTGAGTATTCTTGCCACCGCTTCTTAATATCTTCTGCTTCTTTGAGGTCCATACCATTTCTGTCCTTTATTGAGCCCATCTTTGCATGAAATATTCCCTTGGTAGCCCTAATTTTCTTGAAGAGATCTGTAGTCTTTCCCATTCTATTGTTTTCCTCTATTTCTTTGCACTGATCACTGAAGAAGGCTTTCTTATCTCTCCTTGTTATTCTTTGGAACTTTGCATTCAAATAGGTATATCTTTCCTTTTCTCCTTTGCTTTTTGCTTCTCTTCATTTCACAGCTATTTGTAAGTCCTCCTGAGACACATTTTGCTTTTTTGCATTTCTTTTTCTTGGGGATGGTCTTGGAGCAAGACCATCCCCAAGAAGAAAAGACATTTTAACTGGCTCCTGCTTTTCAAGCCAGAGTGAGTCTTAGTAGTTTGAGATTTACTATTTGTCTCCACTGGTGTGTGTACAACCTGTCTCAGTGTAGAGGGATTTGTATCCAAAGAATGAACTAGCCTCCAGGCATACCCTTGGGTCATCAGTATTCTCACTGCTGAGGAAAGGAGTACATGAAGGCTTTATATTGTCACCCTGCTTATTTAACTTACATGCAGAGTACATCATGTGAAATGCCAGGCTGAATGAAGCACAAGCTGGAATCAAGATTGCTCAGAGAAGTATCAATAACCTCAGAAATGCAGATGACACCACCCTTATGGCAGAAAGTGAAGAGGAACTCAAGAGCCTCTTGATGAAAGTGAAAGGGGAGTGAAAAAGTTGGCTTAAAGCTCAACATTCAGAAAATTAAGATCATGGTGTCCGGTCCCATCAATTCATGCCAAATAGATCAGGAAACAAGGGAAACAGCAAGAGACTTTATTTTCTTGGGGTCCAAAAATCACTGCAAGGTGGTGACTGCAGCCATGAAATTAAAAGACACTTACTCTTTGGAAGAAAAGCTATGGCAAACCTAGACAGCATATTAAAAGGCAGAGACATTACTTTGCCAACAAAGGTCCGTCTAGTCAAAGCTATGGTTTTTCCAGTAGTCATGTATGGATGTGAGAGTTGGGCCATAAAGAAAACTGAGTGCCAAAGAATTGATGCTTTTGACCTGTGGTGTTGGAGAAGACTCTTGAGAGTCCCTTGGACTGCAAGATCCAACCAGTCCATCCTAAAGGAAATCAGTCCTGAATATTCATTGGAAGGACTGATGCTGAAGCTGAAGTTCCAATACTATGGCCACCTGATTTGAGTAGCTGACTCATTGGAAAAGACCCCGATGCCGGAAAAGATTGAAGGCAAGAGGAGAAGGGGACGAGAGAGGATGAGATGGTGTATGCATCACTGACTCAATGGACATGAGTTTGAGCAAGCTCCGGGAGTTGGTCATGGACAGGGAAGGCTGGCATGCTGCAGTCCATGTGGTCACAGAGTCAGACACAACTGCACAACTGAACTGACTGAACTGCCTCCTCTAGGCACGCCTGCCGTGAACACCCCAGTTTTGGGCACCCAGCAAGCACACCACCCTGAGGTCCTGGGATGCTGTGCCAACAGCCCACGTGAGCTCCAGTGAGCACAGGGGCAGCTGACAACAGATATCGGCACAGGGGCTGCTAAGCCGTGTCAGAGGGCAGACAGAGATGCCAAGAGCTTGCCTGGCAGATCCAAGGGTTCAAGGTGGCCAACAGTGAACACTCAGTGACCACTGGCATTTCATTATCAAAATATTTAATAACATACTGGGACTCTGGGTCATGCCCCCCCGCGCACTGCCCTACACAACTCCCCCACAGCACTGCCGTGATAAGCCATCTGCCCCGGGAACACAGAGGGCCAGGACAAGAGCGAGGTGAGGAGCCCTCACACTCGGGCTGGCCGTGCCTGGGAGTGGCACCCCCACCCCGCCCTGCCTCTCCCTGGAGGATACAGCGATAATGTTCTAATCAACATGGGTCAGGAGTTAGAAACAGGATTAAATGGAGGGTAGAAGCAGGGGTACCAACGTGGGGAAACACATGGAGAAAACAGGCTTGTGGACATAAGGGACAAAGAGAGGTCTGGTGGCTCTGAAATACACACTTTCAGCTAGAGGCTGATTACAGAGGTTCAAGTTTAACATGAGAAGGAGAGGCACTCTTTCCAGGCCTTCGCCTCACTGAACCTTGGCTATCCATCTTGGAATCTGAGCAAGAAGAGTCTGAGCAGACCCCTCCTTGTCCCAAAATGCTGACAGCCCTCAGCCCCAATCCCTCCAGCTTGCGGTCTCCAGAGTTCAGGCCTGGATCACTGTCAGCGGAACTGACACCATCAGGGATCTTCACAGTCTCTCCTCTCCTTCCGCTGGGCCTACTCAGGACTGTACGGTATGCTGAATCATCACCCTGTTATCAAGGGCTTTGGACGTTAACAGATACTGTTTCATACCCATTAGGACCAGGTAGCCTCTATGCTCTGTTAGTCCCCAAACAATGATGGAAACCTCTGACGTGTTCCCAACATCCACAAGACTGGTTATGCGTTCATAAATCTTCACTTAGGAATGCATGTCCTGCCTCCCCGTCCCCCAGGTTAGCCATAGAATCGTCCCCACGGCCCCTGGGCAGCATGGGGACACTCCCAGATAGCTGTCCACCCTACCCCATCCTGTAAGTGACCCTGTAATAAACTGATCCACAGATTGCACGGAGCTGCCTGAGCATTTTGTTTTTGGTCTCAAGATGCCTTCTCAGTATGGTGAGCACGCTGCATTCCCTCTGTTCTCCAGCAAGGCCCTTGAGTCTTCCATTTCCTCGAGCTTGGCGGTCCCTTCTAGTGGAGCATCTCCTAGCCCTTGGAAGCCTCGTGGGCTGGGCTGGCTGGTGCTGGGTCAAGGGACTTTTTGCCTCAGCCATCTGTGTGGGGGGGCACTTTGGGACCCGGCAAGGTCCCTCCATGTTTCTGCTCTGATCAGGGGCCTCACATTTCTCTATACCTGCATGAGGACAGAGGCAGTGGAAGAGAAAGTGAGACACTGGTTAATAAGTGTTGGCTCCCATCCCAACAGTGGGAACAGGGAAGGCAAGTCCCCTTGCCTTAATACTGGGTCCCTTAATACTGGGCTGGCCAAAAAGTTCGTTTGGGTTTCCCCATAACATCATATGAAGGAGATCAAACTGGTCAATCCTAAAGGAAATCAGTCCTGAACATTCATTGGCAGGACTGATGCTGAAGCTCCAATACTTTGGCCACCTGATGCAAAGAACTAGCTCATTAGAAAAGACCCTGATGCTGGGAAAGATTGAAAGCAGGAGGAGAAGGGGACAACAGAGGATGAGATGATTGGATGGCATCACCAATTCAATGGACAGGAGTTGGAGCAAACTCCAGGAGTCGGTGATGGACAGGGAAGCTTGGCGTGCTGCAGTCCATGGGGTCACAGAGTCAAACACGACCAAGCAACTAAACTGAACTGATAATGTCGTATGGAAAGACCCGAATGAACTTCTTGGCCAACCCAGTAACTGGTTTTCATCCTGTTCATTGTCATTAGGGCTCCCCGTCACCTCTTCAGCAGGGAACACCAAGCCAGAATCACGTTTCAAAAAACTTTACAGTGTTTGTGCCATGCCTGACGGCTTTGCAAAGCCATTTCATCCCAGCGTGTCTCAGCCTGAGACCAACCCAATCAGGTATTTAGGAAAGAGCACCCCCATTGGACACATAAGGACGCGGACATTCAGAGAAGGTGCCAAGGTTCGACAGAAGCAGGCGAGCAGAGGAGGCAGGATTGTCCACGGTTTCTGGTGCCGAGCCCTGGCTCTGTGCCCAAGCAGGCTCCTCCGCGCCCCCGACACAGGCCTTCCTCAGAGAAAGACCCGCTGATGATGCAGACGGCAGTGAGCCCGCACACCTAGGTCCAAAGGCGGGCTCTGCTGGGACGAGCTAAAGCCCTGAGGTGTGTCCCGTGAGCTCTGAGCCTCCGTTCTCTTGCCTCCACCTCTCGGGGCTGCTGAGACGGACGCCAGTACAGCTAGACAGACTCAAGTCAACGCCTACATTAGACGCTCACTATGCATCATTCTCCTCCTCTCCTGCCTCACTCCCTCTCCTCCCCAGGTCCCCGCAGGCCTGGCCTGGGGGGGCGGCAGGGGGCAGCAGGTGGAAGCAGCACTGGTCTTGAGGTGCCATCTTCTGCTCCCTCTCTGGGGCAGGGCAGGACAGAGACCCCGCTAACGCCTCCTGCCCTGCAGGTTACTCTCCCTGACCTGGGATGATGCCCTCCTTAAAGGGAAGTGCCTCCCCAGATATGGCGCCAGTTCCCAGGTGCCCAGCAGGTTCTTCCTCACATTTACCATCCAGACCGGGTCTATCGCTCGGGCCGCTTCTCACGAGCAAGAGCTTCCTAAGGAGAGCCAGAAAGGCCGCGAGAGAACATTCCCAGCCTCAGCACCAGCTGCACGGCCCAGCCTCTCGTGCCCAGCCTCAGCCGCGAGCCTGTCTGAGCCACCTCTGCACCCACCACCGCTGGGCGACAGGCAGACCGCACCTCAGGTCAGCTTGGGGTTTTGTTCCAGAGGCTTCGCTTCGCAGTTGCTTTTTTTTTTTGGCACACCCCAGGCAGACGGGTCAGACACCCTCGGTTTGTGAACTCTGGGAGGTGCAGACAGCTCAGCGTCCGAGTTCAGAGGAAAAACGATTTCCCCAGATGCCACCTCCTCTCTCCTGGTGGGGTTGGGGGTCCGTCCCAAACCCTGTCACTCTCCATAAGGAGAGGCTGCCAACCTTCCCAGCGGCTCCGGCCTCTGAGGAAATACTTCCCAAGCACCATATTCCGCCCAGAGTCCAAATCTTTGGAACTGGCCCCCAAGGAAAAAGCGAAAGTCAGAAAAGTCAGGAAAATCAGAAAAATCACACTGGAGGAGAGAGAGGCTTTGCATGCACTCTTAAGAGCACCGCAGTCACAGACTTGAAGGAAATACTCACAAAAGTCATGGGACTTGAGGAAAAGACTATCACGCGTGGGTTAGGGCCATATTAGAGCTATGGAGACATGGGACAACAGACGACAGGTTAGTGGAGCTGGGGGCCGGGCCGGGGCTCGCGGAGCACGTTCGGGGTCCGCAGGCCGCGTCCCTGAGGTCAGGGCTGGAGCTGGGCTCAGACTCTCTGCAGAGCCCCCAAGCGATGGATTTCACTCCCAGGAGGAGCGAGGCCAGGTGGACAGGGCTCCAGTGCTCCCTCCGCAGGACTTACCCTCTGTCTTTGCCCAGGGATGACTTCCAGGCCAGGATCTCTTTGTACACCAGCCGGCAGAGAAGCTGGGGGGAGGAAGGGAGGGAGACACGAGCATGGAGCATGTGGCCAGTCCCCAACGCTAGGTGACCACTGGGCTGGCTGTTCACAGGGCCATTCCGTAGGGGGTCACCCCTGGGAGGCAGAGTGCTTCACGCAAGGGAAGCGGTCCTCATCATCCCGACACTTGGGAGCCCCAGGTTCCAGGCCTGTAAGAGGGGACCCCTCCCCCTCCCCATCTGTGTGCCCCCAAACTCTTACCAAGCAGGCCAGAACGTCCGCAGCAATGAGCATGTAGAAGACGTTGTTCCAGCCAGTGGGGGATATGAGCCCGGCCAACAGAGGCCCCAGAGCCGCACCTGTGCAGAGCACTGCATCAGAGAAGGGCCCAGAGCAGGGGCCCCGCCCTCCAACCTAAAACTCTGCCCCAGACCAGGCTCAGGCAGGCGAGAGTCACAGACCTATGGATCCAGTGCCGTCGATGATGGCTGTGACAGTGGACAGCGCCTTGGCATTACCCTTCAGGCTCTTGTGCGTCCCCTGGAGAGAGACACCAGAGTTGGGGTGTTGGGGTGGGGGCTGAACTAAGAGGCAGCACCCTGAGCAGGACTGGGACCGGGAAAGGGGCTGGCTTGGGGAAAGGGAGCCATGAGGGCTTGGAGTTGGGAAGAAACGGGGACCCACGGCAGACTCTGAAGGACTTTGAGGATCTCCTCTCTGCAGGCTGGGGGAAGGGGACAGATGTGGGGAAGATGAGCCTGGAGACAGAGGCCCTGACCAGTCCCTGAGGGAGCCCTGCTCACCAGGTCAGCCGAGACAGCGGTGGTGATGAGGGCGTAAGGGCCGTTGACCAGGGCTCCGCAGATGAGCAGCATGACTGAGGTGGTGATGGGGATGGCCAGTTAGAGAGGAGAGGCCGCCGTCAGCCCCTGCCCCAAAGTGGGTGCGTCCCCCAGGCTCCAGGCCGAGAACCTCCACTTCCCCAGGTCGCCCACCGTGCCCCCAAGCCAGCCTCGTGTGGTCCCCAGGGCAGCGCCCGCTCCCCACCTATGGAGATGCCGATTCCGCTCTGGCCAACATGGTTGTACAGGAACATCTGAGAGAGGAGAAGCAGGGGGCAGGGTCACAAGCTGGCTTCCCCGCGGGCCGCCTCTGTTAGCCTGGAGCCCAGAAGGCTGGAAACGCTAGAAGCCCTGTTTCCTCTCTTTCCTCTCATACCCTGGCCTCTTGGTCCTCAAGCATCCCAGGGAGGCAGGGTCTAACACGCAGTAACCCATCGTTTCCCTTTGCCCCAGAAGTCTCCTCTCCTATCAAACCTCAGCCTCTTATTCTTTCCCTCGTCAGGAAGTTTAGCAGCTGACATCCCCCGCCTCTCACTGAGGTCAAAGAGCCACTAGTCCTTTTCCAAAATTCTCAGCCTGGATCCCTTTCCCTGGGCTATCCTGGCTTCTCCTCCCCTGGCCGTGCACAGGGCTGCACACACGCAAAGAGACGGGTGTGTGTGTGTGTGATGCCCGGGCGTGCACCCAGCTCCCAGCCCTCGACCTTGAGGTTCTACGCACCATGGGGGCAGCCAAGATCAGCATGACGCAGCAGGTGGTGGCCCTGCCATTGATGTAGTCAGAGACGAGCCCCGCCAAGATGCCGCCTGGAACACAACGGGCACACTGACGCCCCAGGCATGGGGGACCCCCGAGCACTGTCCCAGCAGTCCCCCCAGCACGAGCCTGACGGGGACACCCCGGGCCAACAGAGTGTCTCCCTCTGCAACCGTCCCCATACCCATGGCTCACGGGAGGGACACCTGGGCAGGATGCCACCTTTTCCCTCTGAGGCCACCTGCCTAGGTCTCGTCCCGCTGGAGCCTATCCCTTCTATCTGCAACCCGACAAGAGAAGAGGTGGATGCAGCTGAGAGGCACAGCAGGGCGTGGCCTTACCTATGATGCCACCAACATCGAAGAGCGTGGACAGGTCCCCAGCCTCCTTGGCAGTGAAGTGAACTGTGGAAAACGAAGCATGTGCTCAGACCTGGGCACTCAGGACAGACATAATGGAGGGCCACTGCTGGAAGTGTCCCGGCAAACACCTGATCCGGGATCACTGCCTCCTTCTTCAGAGGAAGGAGTGGGGGCCGGGGAGCAGCGGCTGGCCAAGGTCACAGGTGAGTGCAGCAGTTTGGGATGGTATGCCCATGCTGGTCCCCAGGCCTGTACTGACTTCTTCCCCCATCGGATGGCCTTGACCTCTGAGAGCACTGGGATCTGGCCCCCAAGGACCCTGTCCCAGCGGGGGGGCACCCTGGCGCTATCTGAGCCTCGGCCCGTCCAGCCACATGCCTGCCCGCCCCTGACGGAGCAGCGCGCCCCCACAGGAGCTTGTCACCCCCTTCTGAGGTGTCTGCTGATAAACAGAGCCAGGAAGGAGGCTCATGGGGAGAATGGGCACCTCAGGCCCCTGACCTTGCCCTGGGATTAGAAAGAGGGCCGCCCGGCAGCGTGACTGGCTGCCCAGCTCTCAAGGTCGACTCATGCTCTGTAGCCAGCATCAAGGCCACAGAACAAAGAGTCAGTGTCCACAGGGCCGCCCTGGGCTCTCGCCCTGTCTTGCGGGGAGGCCCCTCAGATGCAGACAGGGCGAGGGTGGGACGGGGCAGGTTACAGCTTGAGATTTGGCCCTGACTCACTGAAATGGCATCCTGTGGCCCCAGTGTGCCGTGTGGACGGCAGCTTGTCCCCCCAGGGCCCTGGAGGGGGCCCGGTGGCCCTGCTGAGAGGTCCTCGACCCTGGCGGGGCTCTGGGGCTCTGGGCTCTGGGGCCAGACCTGCTCCGTGATAGCGCAGCCCCACCTGGGGACAGCCAGAGACCCAGGACAGGACGTAAACATCCTTTTCTAACCACCGAAGCGACCTCTCCTCATCTGTCCATCCTTGGGCAGGGACAAAGGCAGGGGACAGGAAGTCCACGAGGTGGGCAGCCCAGGAGACTTGGGCACTGGGCATCAATGGCCCAAGTATCCCGGCAGCCCCTGGGAAGAGAATGGTGTTTCCCACCGGGCTACCAGCAGCGGGGGCTGCTTGCCAGGCCCTCTTCCTTGGGCTGGGGGAGGCTTGAGAGACTCCTGGAGGCATTCAGAAGGCAGACCGTTTCTCCAGGACCCTCCAATCCCACCCATCTATGAGCCAATGGGCCTGAAGCAGGGTTTCGCCTACACTTGAGGCCGGAGTAGACCTTAGAGAGGATTTAAGTTCTTTACCCCGACTGAGTGCCAAGTGAGGCAAAGTGGTTGGAATCAGTCAGGGACTAGGAGGCTTTCTGCAAAATTTAGCTTCCCATTAAAGAAAAAAGTTTCTCTTCTGTGCTAGGGGAGGTTCGGCAGAAGCCCCGCCTATTCGTGGAGCCGTAAGCGTCGCGTGGAGGCCCCTCCTTGGAGGCCCCCTTGCTCTCTCCCCCGTCTCCCCGTGAACTCACCCACATTGGCAATGTACAGAGGCAGCCAGTACAGGAAGGTGTAGCTGACCAGCTTGGCGAACAGCAGACACAAGGAGAACTCGACCACGCCCTGGGAGCACAGCAGACGGCAGGTGGGGGGGTGGGCAGCACGGCCTGGGGCCCGTGGCCGCCGAGCCCCGTGCCAGCACTTTCCACCGCCCACCGCGCGCAGCGGCCTCTAGAACGCTGCCGGTCTCAGGTACAGCAACGTGCCTGCTGCCTGAACGCGAGGGTGACGTCCGACCACGCGGCCCTCCCCACGAGGGCCCCCCCGCCAAGCACTGCACATAAAGAAACTCTGCAAACCGTGGATCAGCCTGAGCGTCGCCACCTCCAACAGAAAAATCTAGAGAGCCTCTCTCTTCCTTCTGGTCCACAGATGACTCACCGGGATGCGCAGGGCCCCGAAGAAGCTGATGGCGGTAGGCTGAGCGCTTGCGTCCTTGGAGCAGGTGACAGCTGACTCCAGGCTGCTCTCTTTGTTACAGTGGGGTCCATTTGCGGGGTCCTCGGGGCGGTCTTGGCTCTCTTCAGGATTACCCTGAGCAGAGAAGAGCCCTGACTGGGGGCACGTCCACATACTACCCCCCACCAGCTGGAGAGACAACCCACGTGAGACGGACTGCATGAGGTATGCGCCCCCACCTCCTGGAACAGACTCACCACCTGCCAGGGAGCCACCCGCGGGCCCAACTTTGGACACACAGGCCCCTCCTCAACTCCCCAGGCCTCTCTGGGACCAGCCCCCGGTGGAGTGGGGCTGGGGGCCACACTCACGTGGTGCTGAGGCGGGGCGCAGTCCACGTCTTCTGGGTCTGAAAGGAAAACCTCCTAAGAAGCTTGCCAGCAGACCAGGCCCTCATCCTGCAGGGCGTGTGACCCCCACACCCCCAAGGAGGCCCGTGGGCTTTCCAGCATGAGGGAGCCGGGTCTCCGGAGACCACCTTTGAGGCCTAGGTCTCCTAACCAAGGGAGCCTTATGGACTTTTGTTCTCTTGCTTACAAGAGACCACGGCCATGACTCCAGGGGCCATCTGTCAGGGAGCCAGAAAAAAAGCAGCAAGCATGACCCACTTCTCAGGCTCAGAGGAGCCAGTGTTTGCTGGGCATCCTGACACACATCTCACAGACACTCTCCCACGTGTCTGTGAGCACGTGTCTGTCTGTGAACAGGTGTCCCGCGTGAGAAATCGAGGCTCAGAGAGGTTGTCCATCCTGAGTCACATGGCTGGGCCTCCAATCCCGCGACCCCCACGGGACCAGCCTCCATCTCCCAGAACCTAACTGGGAGGCTCCGCTCCGGCTCTGTGGGGAGGCAGGGAGAGGGGTCCACTCACATTCGATGAGGAAGAAGAAGGTGATGATGCCCATGATGGCGGTGATGACGCCGGGCACCACGAAGGACAGACCCCACTGCTGATCCACCCACACGCCAGCCAGCAGGGAGCCCAGGATGTTGCCCACGGACGTGTGGGAGTTCCAGATGCCCATGATGAGCCCCCGCCTGGAGGGGAGGCGGGGAGGGAGGCAGGGAGGCAAGAGCAGGAGAGGTAAGAAGAGAAGTCCTGGGCTCACGGAGACCGCCCCGGCCAAGTGCGGAAAGCTGGCTGCCTGCAGCCTCCGTGCCCAAAGACGCCAGTCAGGGAGGAGAGGCAAGGCTGGCTGGCATCGAGTGAGTGACAGCCAGGCCTGGCGTGTCCTGCTCCCCACCCAGCTCCCTGAGCAAGCCCTGCCTCCCCTCTGTCCCAGGGCCACAGCCCTGCCCTTTCTTCTCTAGCCCTGAGGCTGTGACTCTGAAGGCCTCAGCTAAGGGTGACTGCCCCCAGGGGACACGGACACTGTCTTCTCGGAGAGTTCTGGTGATCCACTCCCGAGTGTGCTCGTGGTGTCTAGCAGGCAGAGGCTGCTAAATGCTACAACGTGTAGGACGGCCCCCTAACAAAGAATTACACAGCCCCAAATGTAGCCCACGATGTTAACAGTGCCAGGGTTGAGAAACTCTGCCCAAAAGAAACTTTTTTTTTGCACAAAAGCCAGTTCAAGGGAAAAATAAATAAATATATAAGACATATACATATATATGCATTAAAAATATATGGGTATATGTATTATTTATACATATATACATACACACACACACACACACACACACAGAGTTTTATAGGCTTCATTTTTGTCTTCATGCAAAATGGAAATTCATCTATTATGAGCAAAAGGCATAACGAAGATGGCAGGTTTTAAGGATTAAAACCTCAGCAATGAAAATGCTCACTGCTTTTAGTCACTAAAACGTTTGTATCCCAGCCTGTGAAAGTCAGCAGGACGGAGGCTTATTTCTAATCTTTGATCCTAAAATTGTATCAGAGGCCACAAGGGACCTCCCGCCCCCACACCAGCCCAGCGCCCCCAGGCAATGCCCACCCTCCTCCCTGGTCACACTCACTTGCCCTTCCCGAACCAGTTGCCCACGCAGCTCACCACGGCGGGCCAGCCCGTGGTCTGCACAAGTCCGTTGAAGATCTGCAGGGAAAGTGGGGGGACAGAGGCCCGTGGACTGAGCGGTGCAGCATCTGGGATGGGGGGTCCTCCAGAATCCACGCTATGCCCCGCCTTCCTTCACACGCGTGCACACACCCACCAGCTGATGTCCCTCTGACCCCAGGCCCCCACGGCAGAGACCGGGCCTCGCAGGCGCCTCCAGGGACCTCAGGCTGATGCTCAGTGCAGATTCCCTGAGCCGGCGAGGCCGCCCTGGCTGTGGGCAGGGGACCCCGCAGTGTGATAAAGGAGCCCGGGTGGGGATCTGCCATGACCCGGGGCGGCTGGGTCTGTGCAGGGACAGAGGCCTGAGTGCAAGCCGGAGAAGGCTCGTACCTGCACCAGCACAAAGTACCAGAGCACATGAATGTTCCAGAAATAGCCCAGGCCGAAGAGCGAGGTGAAAAGGCCACTGAGCAGCATCCCGGCTGTGAGGTAGTACCGGAGGGGGAGCCGCTCCCCAAAAATGCCGCTGCAGAGAGAGGTGGGTTCGTGGTTAATCTCCGCTACCTCGAAGCCCTGCCCTCCGCCTCCTGGCTCCCCCGGGGCCCCACCCACAGCTACTGAAACATTGCCGAGGTGACCACCAGGGACCTCTGTGTGGCCACTAGGTGCCTCTGCTTTGACCACGCGCCTCGCAACGTGCCTGGCAGAGTGGCCTCTGTGACATCCCCGTGACCCTCCTCTTCCCCCTTGGCTGACCAGTCCAGCTCATGCATTTTCTCTTGCATCACCTTTATGGTTTTACCTGCCACGTCTGTACACGTACACGACCCAGCTGTGTGTCTGCAGCCCTGAACTTTCTCCCAGGACCATATCCACATGCCTTCTGGACATCCTGACGGCGGTGCCTCCCAAACAGCTGCCCGTCAACAACTCCAAAGACTGGACTCCTCTGCCTCCCTTCCAGACCCTGCCCTGTGTCTGCGCCCCTCAGCGGACTGGACGGCACCCCCACATTTGGCCACTCAAGCTGGAAACGAGCTACCTCAGTCTCCTGTCCCTGCAGCCCACCCTCCACAAGCGACCTCCAAGATCTGCCCACTGCTCCTCTTATTTCTCTCCAGCACGTCATTTCTCTCCATCTCTGTTATTAATAACACTGTTCTAACTTAGGCATTCCTCCAAGCCCAGCTGGGCTACTCTCAGATCTGCTCCTGGGTGTGACCTGCTAGTCAGCCCTGAAGTGAAGTGACAGTCACTCGGTCGTGTCCAGCTCTTTGGGACCCCATGGACTATAGCCAGTTGGGCTCCTCTGTCCATGGGATTCTCCGGGCAAGAATACTGGAGTGGGTTGCCATTCACTTCTCCAGGGGATCTTCCCAACCCAGGGATTGAACTCGCATCTCCTGTGTCTCCTGCATTGCAGGCAGATTCTTTACCGTCTGAGTTACCAGAGAAGCCGATCAGCCCTGCTCTCCCTCAAGTCCACCTCCGTCAGCCTCTCATATCTGTCTGACATGTAAATCTGAACATGACACCCACTCGGTGGCTCTCCTGTGCCCACAGCCTAGTACACAGTGACCTCGTTCTTCGGCCCCATCTCCTGCGTTTTGCATGTTGGGAAACCTGTTATGAGTCCCCCAGTCCACCCCCTCCCCTGTGCAGTCATGCTGCTTCAAATTACAGCTGCCTTCCTTCACCAAGCCATGCCTCCATTGTGCGAGCATGCTCAGTCAGGTCTATCTTTCTGCCACCCTATGGACTGTACCCCGCCAAGCTCCTCTGTCCAAGGAATTTTTTAGACAAGAATATGGGAGAGGGTTGCCATTTCCTCTTCGAGAAAATCTGCCCCACCCAGGGATCAAAGCCGAGTCTCCTGTGTCTCTTGCCTTGCAGGTGGATTCTTTACCCACTGAGCTAGTGGGGAAGACTCTTATTTCTATTCAGTTCAGTTCAGTTGTTCAGTCGTGTCCACTTTATGATCCCATGGACTGCAGCACGCCAGGCCTCCCTCTCCATCACCAACTCCCGGAGTTTACCCAAACTCATGTCCATTGAGTTGGGGATGCCATGCAACTATCTCATCCTCTGTCATCCCCTTCTTCTCCCGCTTTCAATCCTTCCCAGCATCAGGGTCTTTTCAAATGAGTCAAGTCCAATTTCTCTTCATTAGTTCAAATGTCATCTCCTCCAAGAAGCCTTTCCTGATCCCTCTTTTCTAATCCCAGCTCAGAATAAGTGACTCTTCGGAGCTCCATACGTAGCCGCCTCTGTCTCAGAGCCACTGTACTGTTTATAACGCAGCTGCTGAAGTATCGGTCACCCCATTAGGCTGTGAGCTCTCTAGAGGTAGAAGCCAGCCTCAGTCATCCTCGACTCCTGGGAACAAACATCATGCTTGCTTCATAAAAGCCATGCTGGGCTTTCAGCTTTCAGGTTATCCTTGAAGGACCCCTGTCCAGGACAGATCATATTCCAGCCACACCGCTGACATACCATCTGAGTGAATAAACTCAAAAGGAGATCCAGGAAGGCCTTTGCAGGAGAGTTACTAAAAGAGGCAGTCATCCAGGTGAAGGAGGAGGCTGGGTGAAAGCGGCAACACGCCAGCTACGGGTGACGGGATGTGTGGAAGGCTTGTCTCATTTCCAACAACTTTCTGTCTTTGACCCCACTGCCCCAGGTTGGTTTAGAGGAGGCGGCAGTTCTGAACCATCCTATAGGACAACACAGGCTCTGCCTCTTACCTGATAAACATGCCGATGGCATAGGCCACGAGGAAGGCGTTGTCCACGGCCCCCAGTAACTCCTTGTAGTTGCTCTTATCTGTAGGCGGACCGGGGAGACAGAAAGCTGGCTGTCTCTCCGGGCCTGGATGGGGAGCAGGTGTGGGAGGAGCAGCTCGCCCCGCTCTTACCAAAGGGGGCCCAGTTGCACCATGTGGTATCGTTGAGACTGTGGGTGCTGTTGAGGGGCTGGATCACCTCTGAGCAGTTGTGGTGCAGACGGCTCTGGAGAGGCGACGGGTGCGCAGGTCAGGGGTTAGCTGGTGACCCCAGGGTCAACCCAGCCCGCAAGGGAGCCAGTAACCCCCTCCCCACCACACCAGCCCACTGTCCCTCCCTCCTGGACTCCCTGCATCTTCCTCTGACACCCGGTCAAGCAGGTATGGCTCTGGGGACAAGGGGCCAGGGCAGAGACTCAGTGAAGCACAAGGGGTGTCTACGAGCAGCACCCGGGGGACCCAAGGTGCCTGCTCTCTGGTTCCACCCCCAACTCCCCAACACTGCTCTCTTGGTGAAGAAACCCAGGAAACTCTCCTGGGAAAAAGAACTGCTAAAAGTGGGAGTCAGCCAAGGGGGAGGAGACAGACTTGGTGACCAAGATAAGGGACAAGGACTGTGCTTCATTGAGCTCTGGGCTGTTCTGCTGAAGTATTTCCGTATTCCTGCTGAGGCCAGCAGTCCTGCATTCTTCCTTACCCCCGGGCCAGACTCACCTTGACGACACTGATGGGCTTCCGGGACATGTGATAGCAGGTGTAGATTAAGAAGGTGATGAGCAGGATGTAGGCTCGGTACCTGTAGGGGAAGGTGGGCATCTGGGTTAGCAGGGAATCCAGGCCTACTGTCTCCACTGTGTCCAGGAAGCAGTCCGCCTGTGCCTGTTCTGGCAGCACCACCAACGCTCCCCTCCAGACACAAGCTGCTCGGGGCAGAGGCCAAGGGGAGGGGAGGGACAGGTGCCCAGAGGCCAGAGCGCTCAGCGTTCCTGCTCCCGAGGACAGAGGCCTCCCAACAGAGCTGGGCCAGCAGCAGCGTCCTAGACGACACCAGAGTGCCCTCTGCGTCTCTTGTCACTGCCCGTCGCCTCTACTTCTCCTTGTCCTCCCTAAGATCGGGCGCCTCTGTGTGTGTGTGGAGAGAGATGGGGGCGCAGGGAGACAGAACTGTGTTTAAATACCGGAAATGGTGGAAGCTGGTAGGAGGATGATGCATGCCAAGTGTCTCCTTCTTAAAAAACTTTTTATTTTGTACTGGGGTAGGGTTGATGAACAATGTGATAGTTTCAGTGAACAGCGAAGGGACTCAGCCATACATATATATGTATCCATTCTCCCCCAAACTCCCCTCCTATCCAGCCTGTGACATAACATTGAGCAGAGTTCTCTGTGTTATACGGTAGGTCCTTGCCAGTTATCCATTTTATTTTACTTTTAAAATTTTTATTATTTTTAAGACCAGAAACATTTTGTATTGGGGTACAGTCGATTAAAAATGTTGAGGTAGTTTCAAGTGAATAGCAAAGGGACTGAGTCATACATATACATCATCCATTTTAAATGTATCAGTGTGTATATGTTGATTCCAAACTTCCAGAAAGGGTCTGTCTTTAAAGTGAGGTCAACTACTCTTCGTAAGCCTAGTTGGTTGCTCAGTCGTGTCTGACTCAGCCACCCCATGGACTGTAGCCTGCCAGGCTCCTCTGTCTGTGAGATTCTCCAGGTATGAATACTGGAATGGGTAGCCATTCCGTTCTCCAGGGGATCTTCCCCACCCTGGGACCAAACTCAGGTCTCCTACATTGCAGGCAGATTCTTTACCGTCTGAGAGAAGCCTAGAACACTGCAGAAATAGCACCTGCTACAGCCCAGCAGAGGCAGAGTCCAAAACACAGAGGGAAATGTGGCAGCAGGAAAAAGCTGGTTGACAGGACCCAGGTCCTCTGCCTGGCTCCATGCTAGTGCATTCCTCTAGACAGAAGGCTCACTCTTTCCATTGTGGCTCACGCATCACACAGCCCTCTCCCACCTCCGCTTCTCATCCCGTGCACTGATCTGGGGTGGAAAACACAGGTCAGCCAGGCACCACTGAAGTTTCCACTGCCCGCCCCACTCTCCTCCTTCTCCTGAGGATCTGGGGGAGGGCCCCCCATATCCTCCTGAGTCACTGCTTCCCCAGCAGAGCATCAGCTGAGCCGACTCAGCATCCAGGAGCCAGGAAGTACATGGAGAAGAGAGCTCAGTGTGGACTCCAGCCCAGGAGAAAGGCCAGAGCCTTGGTTTCTTAAAGATCCCCTGGAGAAGGTGGGGAAGAAGGGGAGAAACCTCATTCTATCCCTGGGTTCCTTGAATCAAAGAGCCAGGACACTGGAGGCTCGGTCTGCCCTCTCTAGCGATCTGACTCCAAACCCCAAATCACTTCCCCACAAGCATGTTGCAGAGGCTCGGGTTTGTGAAATGAAGGGTGTTACATCAGAGGCTGAAATCAGGTTGGGCTGCCAGGCTCCTTCTCACTTCGCCCCTGGACTCCTGCTCTATCTCCATCTCTCCACTGCCTCATAGCTCATCTTCTGAACAGAATGAAGGTACATGTACCCTGCTGTCACCAGGCTGAACATTTCCCAGTGGCTCTCCATTCCATTAGGTACGAAGCTCCGTACAAAATAAAAAGCTTAAAGTTTGCGGGGAGAAAAGAATAAAGCTCCAACTCTAGCCTGGCTTTCAGGCTCCTCTGCTGCATGGTATGGCTCCTACTTCCAGACACGGGGTGCATGGAGGCAGGGAGTCACAGGGGAGTTTCCAGGGAATCTGGGGTTATTCCCAGGGACTGTCACAGTGACCCACATAGACAAGCTTGGTGGCAGCAATGTTTTCCAACTGGTAAATGGCTCATGACTCCTGGATCAGGGACTTTCAGAATCTGGCAGCAGATGCGGGGAGGGGGTGAAAGGACTTGGAGACTGTGCCCAGCTGGGCTTCTTCAAGAAGCAAAGGATGGAAGAAAACCACAGCCCTGCACATTAACACTCACCAGTTTCCTGTCTGGAAAAAAGCTTCAAGTTTTGTAGATGTGTGTGTGTGTGTGTGTGTGTGTGTGTGTGCGTGCGCGCACACGCGCACTCAGTTGTATCTGACTCTTGGCAACTCCAGGCTCCTCTGTCCATGGAATTTTCCAGGCAAGAATACTGGAGTGGGTTGCCATTTCCTGCTCTGGGTGATCTTCCCAACCTGGGATCGAACCCATGTCTCCTGGGTCTCCTGTATTGGCAGGTGGATTCTTTACCACTGAACCACCTGGGAAGCCTCTAATTAACTGTGTAACCAAATTCAAGTTCTTTAATTTTTTGCCTCCGGTTTCCTCATCAGATGTACAGGAGAACAGCACCGACAACATCTAAGTCAAAGACAGGTGACTACAATGCAACACTCACCCTGGTCCTCAGGTCTCTGCTGTGCTACCCCTAAGACCTCCGCCCCTGGGCTCAGCCAAGTCTCTTTTCTCTGCTACATGGACGCAGTGACCCTGGTGATAAATCAGATCTCCTTGGCTCCCCAGATGGTGCCGTGGTAAAGAATCTGCCTGCCAATGCAGGAGATTCAGGAGATGTACGTTCGATCCCCGGCTTGGGAAGACACCCTAGGGAAGAAAATGGCAACCGGCTCCAGGATTCTTGCCTGGGAAATCCCATGGACAGAGGAGCCTAGCAGGTACAGTCCATAGAGTCGTAAAGAGTCAGACAGGACTGAGTTACTGAGCTTACCCGCTGGGCCTCAAAGATCCCCCGGGCCCCGCGGAGGCCCCGGCACTGACTGTCCTCCCTTGACAGGGCTGCCAGTGAGGCCCAGGCTGCCCTCAGCCACGCTGAGCCCTCAGGAGCTGGTCGGAGTCAGTGAGGGCTCAAAAGGCACAGTCCCGCTGGCAGCCACCCTTCTCCTCCCCACCGCTCCCAGCCAGGCCCCACTGCTGACAACTCAGTTTCCCTGAGATGGAGCCAGGACCACCCCACCCCCACGCGCATCCCACCACGTGCCCGGCCCTGAGCTAGGGACCTGGGGAAACCAACCGTAAGAGAGACCTCTGCCCGCCGGGGCTCGCGGGGCAGCAGGGAGTCAAAGGACCAGTGTGACTGTGCTACAAAAGACAGCGGCCAGCCCTGCGGGACTCCGGAGCGGGGCACCCAGACCGGCCGGGGAGGGGGCAGGGTCAGGAGAGGAATCTGTGAGTGGACCTGAGACAGTCATACAGGGTGAAGGAAGTCAGAAAGAGAAAAACGAGCATCGTATATTAACCTGCGTATGTAGAAGCTAGAAAAAGGGTATTTGCAAAGCAGAAATCAAGACACAGAGAACAAATGTATGGATACCAGAGGGGAAGCGGAGGGTGGGATGAATCGGGAGATTGGGAGTGATGTGTATACACTACTGATGGGAGTGCTAATTCGCTTCACTCGTGTCCGACTCTTTTGTGACCCTATGCACTGCAGCCCACCATGCTCCTGTCTGTCCATGGGATTCTCCAGGCAGGAACACTGGAGTGGGTTGTCATGCCCTCCCCCAGGGCATCTTCTGGACACAGGGATCAAACCCAGGTCTCTTGCATGTCCTGCACTGGTGAGAGGGTTCTTTACCACCAGTGGTACCTGGGAAGCCCCAAGTATAAAATAGGTAACTAAAGAGAACCTACTGCACAGCACAGGGAACTCTACTCAAAAAAGAGGGGAGATATATATATCTATCTGATTCACTTTGACATACAGCAGAAACTGATACAATATTGTAAAGCAACTATACTCCAACACAATTTTTTTAAAAAAGAAAGAAAGAATCCTGGAGGTGAGGTCTCAGCCCAGTCTTCACAAACTGGCAGGAGGCAGCCAGGTCCACCCGGGCAGGGGCGGGAGCAGGGCCAGGGAGAGGGGAAGTGCGTGTGCAGAAGCGTGGAGGCATGAATATCACTACCTGTTTGGGGAACTCTGTATGGTTCAGGGTGTAGTTCAGGGTGTCTGGAAGGTGGGGCTGAGCCAAACACGGCAGGTGAGGGCGCTGGGAAGGAGGAAAGGGACAGGTCATGGAGGGCCTTGGGTGAGATTGGACTGTCTCTTGGGGTGACAGGACGTCACTGAAGAGGGATGGGATTTTCTAGGTCACAGAGTTCTGGGCACCAGCGAGGTGGGGACCCAGGGCTCTGCCCTGCTGGTGAGTTGGAAAACTCCAGCCGGGCTTCTTTGCAGAAGGCAGGGCTGGCTTCCTCTGCCTCGTTCATCCTGCCAGCCACTCCCCAGGCACACGGCCACCCCCAGGGAAACCCTTGGTGGTGCCCTGGACTCTGGAATCAGGTGAAACCTGCTTTCATTCCTTACACCTGTGTGTCATCTGAAAGTAGAGTTTATCACCTTTGTCACAGGGCTGTTGATAGGTTGATGAGATGATGCATACCTCTTACAGGTTTCTGACACGCAGTCCACACTCAAAAACAACAGCGATGATGATTTCAGGTTTTGAGGAAGGAAAACTGGAGTGGGCGGAGGCAGCTCGTGCCGCTCTGTTAAGGGAGGTGAGCAGTGGGGATGGGCACCAAGCTGCTCTGAGCAGTGGGGGCTCCAGGCCCTGGATGTGCCTGAAAGGTGGGGGTCTGGAGGCTGGCTACTCCTCTCCTCCCCACCGGCGCAGCGTGCAGACCTGGGCTGGAGGCGTCTTTGTAGATGCCTGAGGCTACGAGTCCTACGGGGAGCCTGCAAGGGGACAGAGCACAGGCTGGCCTGCTGGGCCCGCCCCTGCACTCCCTCGGGAGTAGATGGG